GAAATGTGTGGAAAAAAATGTTTAACTCCTCCGTTATACAGAAATTGGGGAAAAAATAAACGGTGGCTAATAATTTAGGGGGGCTAACAATTCTGACTAAACTGTATTTATATATATATATATATATATATATATATATATATATATATATATATATATATATATATATATATATATATATATATACACGTGTCTGTGTGATGTATGTAAAATTTGGCCCGCGACAACGTTTGTTTTTTTGCATCTGCCCCTCGGCCCAAAAAGTTTGGACACTCCTGCAGTACACCTATGAACATTTACAGTCTTTGTTCTAGTGCAGTTTGAGATCAAGACAGAACTTATTGCATCTCGTGATGTCTTTGTAAGAATTGAAGACATCACTAAATTTGTTAAGGTTTAATGCAGCTAGAAAGTAAAGATCAACTAGAGAATATCAGCAGTGTCTAACCCACTGTTGTATTTACAGAAGTTGTATGAGAATAAGCTACAGGTTGATTTATACTAATCTGTTATTTTTCTTTTTTAGCACGACTGACTGAAGTTTTAAAATCATGCAACGTCATAAAGCAGCAGCTGGGCCTGATTCTCACAAAACCAAAACAGACGTGATGAAATTCCAGATGTAAACACATTTGACCTTCCTATGGCCAATTTGATTTGGAAAAGCTTGAAAATCAACTAAAGGAGCAGCCCGAACAAATGAAGAAACTGGTAAGTTCAAGCTCTTGCTAATTTCAAAGTGTTTTATGTTTATTTGTTTTTTTTTATTGTTTTTTTTTTTGCTTCGTAGGTAGCCTACTTTTTTCCTAATTTTTTCTTTTTTTTTTACATTAGTACTTGTTCACTACTAATTATCTGTTTATCTTTTAATCACAGATGGAGTGAGGACAAATGTCCATACCACGCCACTGATAAAGAAGTGGAAAAATGCATTACAAGGTAGCTACAACTTGCCCCTGACAGGGATGGAGGAAGAAATAAGAGAAAGCTAATGTGTCAAATGTCTACATCACTATTTTGTTTTATTTTTTAAACAACATTTTAAGTGTATTAGGATGTTCCCTGATACTTGAACAATTTGTTTCTTTCATTTGCATTTATATATATATATATATGTATATGTATATATATGTGTGTATGTGTGTGTGTATATATGTATGGTATGTATGTATGTATGTATGTGTGTGCGCCAAATTCTGAAGAAACATCTTGATACATTTTTAATAAACGTGATACAAATAAAATTATAAATATAAAATTGCACAAGACGTGTATATATATGAAATGTATAATCATCTCACTCATGTCTTGCTGTTTGTGCAATTGATTTTGTTCAAGTTTATTTAAAAATAAGTTTGACTTGTTTGTTTATTATTATTTTAATGTTTTATTAAAAAATGTTTCAAGATGTTTCTTCAGAATTCTGCAGTACTTTTTACAAGTTTGACTTGGATATTTTACGGATTGTCATTGGTATTTTTAAGATGTTTCTTGCTATATCTTAAATTGGTTTCTATATTTAGGTTTATATAAAATTTAGCTGTTTGTACAAATTTTTAATTCAAGTCTATTGGGAAAACAGGGTTGTTTTAAAAAACATCTGTGTTTGTGTAATTTTTAGATTTTTTGTTTAAATCTTTCTGTGTGTCTTTATTGTGTTGTTTTATTGTTGTTTTTATATTGATATTCTTGTGCACTACAAAATTATTTATAAAATTTTAGTACTATTTTTTTTCTTGCCATCAATAAACGTTTAACATTTATTTATTTTGTCATTTGTCTGATTATTTTCGTTACAGAATATGTATGCAGTTTGCACTTTATTCAAAGGTTAAACGCAGTGCTTACACTTTGTGTGTACATTATAGCCTGTGTTTGCTGTTGTATAAATTCAAATGGTTGTAATACCATATATCAAGTACCAATGTAATACTAAAAGGTTTTATAAGGTGTATAAATACGGAGTCGCGCCAGCTCCGGGCCGCAGCGCACATTACCCTCGCGCCGATTCTAACGCGGATGCGCAGCGTCGACTCGCTTACGGCCGCCGCATCTGGCCCGCTTGATTCGGGCCGGAATCGGGCAGTGAGTCCACAGGCATCCGGCCCGAGTCCGGCAGCCGGAGTTGGGCCGAGGGGTAAGTCTCCGGCAGGCGACAATCTAGCCGGAACTGGCCCGAGTGTATTTTGCTATCTGGGTAATTTCATCAATGTATTGGCAGAGGGTGTCAATATAGCTGTAGTCATTAGGCAGTAAGGCTAGGTAGATCTGAGTGTCATCAGCATATTTGGAGATTTGGTTCTTTCTCGTTTTTTTGGCTAAGAGGGAGCATGTAAAGGTTGAACAGTAAAGGTGCCAGAATCAAGCCTTGTGGGACTCCACATGTCATGGGTTTCCACCTTGACCTATGGTCACCTACACTGACATAGTAACCTCTCCCTGCAAGGTAAGATCTGAACCATTTAAGGACCGTGACAGACATCCCAACTAAGTTTTCCAGCCTATCCAGAAATATGCTGTGATGGACAGTGTCAAATGCAGCACTGAGATCGAACAATACCAGCACTGTTATTTACCTGAATCTGTATTTAGGTGGATATCATTGATTATCTTGATAAGGGCGCTCTCTGTACTATGATATGCTCTTAAACCAGATTGAAAATTGTGTAAACATCCCCTGAAGTTTAAGAACTTGCTAAAAACAACTTTTTCAATGATTTTGCCAAAATAAAGCTACAGTCAGATATTTTGAGAGGAGATCTATTTTGCAGACCTGGTGCAGTGCAGTCTGAGCTGCATCAAATGCTTTTTAATGGCCTCACCTAACCCCACCCCCAACCCTATCCCTCAGAGTGACGTCACTCGCTTCATTTGACTGCCTTGTGTCTGACATTGCATCGCTGAGTGATGCAGTCTCAGCTTGCAGCATAAAGGCTGCATCCAGATACTATTGGATATTTTTGCACACACACTGTATAGAGCAAGACATGACACCAGTATAAATTTGCTCTGTTTATGAGGCTTGTGTACTGTAATGTTCTTCTATAAAAAATTTACTTTGTATTATATTAAATATATTTGTCAACCTGGCCATTATGATAGCCTACAGTACAACATTAATAACTATTGAATTGTGTTATTTGTATTTTTGTCAGCTCATGCTTTATTCGATTTGTTTTGTTTATATTTTGTTCATATTATAGTCGGATGCCTGATAAACCTGATTTTTGAAAGAGATAAGCTTTCTGTGAACGTTTTTGTTTCAACATTTAAGGGAATTTTAAAAGCATTAAGTATGTTTTTCACAGTGTGCTTCACTTTTTAAACAAAAACTGAATTTCTCACAAATCTAATCACGTCTTCCAGTTAAAAGGCTAAAATAAAAATCTAATAAATAAATAAATACAATAATTAGATTATAATCAGAATTGAAGTCAATATTCAACAACAGACCAGAAGGCAGAGCTAAATGTGTTATAAATGTAAAGAAGAGACTGTCATGTAATAAATACTGAACTTATAATCAGTGAATATGAGGTGGTTTCACTTTCAAAATGTGGTATAAAAGGGCAGGCACTTTTTTCCAGGGGTTTCAGTACAGCGTAACCGCTACTACGTCATTGGGTGGGCGTGGCCTATCTGTGAATTTGCATAGGTCACGGATCATGCGCAGATTGTGAAAACAGCCGTTTGATTCAGATACCTGTACGTATTCGCAGGGGTTTCGTGTCCAATGTCTTTTATATGCAGTACAAAATAGCTGTCCTGATCGCAGGTGTTTCATGTGAAGTCAGTGTATGTTATATTAAACAAATTAACTTAAGATACCGCTCAGATTACATTAATACTGTTATAACTTAAGATACCTGTCCCGATCCCACGGCTTTTGTGTCAAATACTTTATATATCATATACAGTAACATCAGATACCTGTCCTGATGCCAGGGGTTTCATGTATAATTACTTTTATATTAGTTAACATCAGATACCTGTCCTGATCCCAGGGGTTTCATGTATGATCACTTTTATATTATATACATTAACATCAGATACCTGTCCTGATCTCAGGGGTTTCATGTATGATCACTTTTATATTAGTTAACATCAGATACCTGTCCTGATCCCAGGGGTTTCATGTATGATCACTTTTATATACATTAACATCAGATACCTGTCCTGATCTCAGGGGTTTCATGTATGATCACTTTTATATTATATACATTAACATCAGATACCTGTCCTGATCTCAGGGGTTTCATGTATGATCACTTTTATATTATATACATTAACATCAGATACCTGTCCTGATCTCAGGGGTTTCATGTATGATCACTTTTATATTAGTTAACATCAGATACCTGTCCTGATCTCAGGGGTTTTATGTATGATCACTTTTATATTATATACAGTAACATCAGATACCTGTCCTGATCTCAGGGGTTTCATGTATGATCACTTTTATATTATATACAGTAACATCAGATACCTGTCCTGATCCCAGTTGTTTTGTGTATGATGACTTTAAATAAAAATAGAAAATAAATATGAGTTATGTTAATTAACTAAGATCGAGAAAGAAAAATTAACCACGATTTATTACAGAAAATGTGGTATTTATTTGTTTAAACATGACTGAATACCATATTTTAAACTACAAAAACACGGTTAATCTTACCACAACCATTATTATTTGGTTTAAAATGGAAGTACAAAAGCCCAGAGACAGAAAAACGGAGTAAAACGAGGTCAGCCGGTTATGCTAATGAAATCTTTAAAATATAAGATTATAAAAACAAAAAAATAACCTGTATGATTGTTTTTTCCTTCGTTATCCACCGCGGTAGGTTCTTTATCCATAATCATCCTGTTTGAAATGACCGCGCTAAAAAAGAACCTGTACTGCGCATGATCGGTGACCTCTCAGTATTGTTTTTTTTTTAAGGGGGCGTTTCCCAAACACCGACCGAGCCACGCCCATTTTACGTCGTGGTAATGAAACCCCTGGAATTTTTGTGCATGCCGGTATAAAAGCGGCTGTTTTGCACGCAGCCACGATTTGTTAAAGGGGAGGCAGTCCTAATTCTAAAGCTTGCATACTCTTCTGTTGCACACTCAAGTATAAACGTTTCCTTCACAAAAACAGTACAGCAACTGATTATGTTTTAATGCACGCTCCTACATTCGCGCGCCCAGGAAAGGGCGTGGCTTCCTGTTTTCTGTGAACCAACCAACACATGACTCTGAGCGACTTTGTTTGTCAAGAATTAGAATATCCAGTAGTGTCTGAGACTATTTAAATACAGTGATTGATTGGTCCGTTCTGAGAATATATGATATATTCTCAGAAAGGTATGCAAATCTTTTATGCGCTCGCCCACAGAAAAGGTCTTTCGCCAAGATCGACGCTGCTTAACCGTCCTGAACTGTGTGAACATGTTTAACGCACGGTGAGTAACTTAGCTGTTTTTTCAGATTTTCACATACACACGTATCTTTGACGTGTGTGTGTGTGTGTGTGTGTATATCCAATTCAGTATATGTATATATATATATATATATGTGTGTGTGTGTGTGTGTGTGTGTGTGTGTGTGTGTGTGTGTATATGTATGCATGTATATATATATATATATATATATATATATATATATATATATATATATATATATATATATATACATATACATACATACATACATACATACATACATACATACATACATACATACATACATACATATATATATATATATATATATATATATATATATATATATGAACGTTTAGTTGAAGTTGAGAGTAGTCTCTGGATTTAGATGATAAAACAGACAAACCTTGATTTTCGTTACTTTATCCATTAATAATTATACCTTTTTAATTGTTGATATAACTTGCAATAATAATCAAAACGTTAAAGATTTATCAATATAATTTCTTTAACTTAATTTAAATTAGAATTTTATTTTACAGAAAATATCTTGGGGTGGCTGGGGTCTTTGTGTTTGTAATTCATGCTTTATTCTGAGGTAGCCTTTGGATTGCTGTTTACATCTGGTATTTTGTCATTTTAATCACAAACACAACACCCCTAGTGGTGGCTAGGGTATGTCTGATGCCCCAATCCAGCTATTTTACTTTAAATGTTTATAGACTGGCACTCAGTTACACTTAACATTTTGAATATTTACAAATATGTTATTTTATTAATGTGTAAAAACAATGATTGCTGCCACTCAGTATAGTTTAAGATTTTAAATATTGACTAAAATTGACATTTAGAGAAAGGGTTTGTAGTACTAACCCAACTTAATAGCCATTTTATGGATCCATTTTTATATTTATATTTTATAAACATCATTTTATGGCTGGAATGATAAATAATTGCTGAAAATGTTTCAATGCAGAGTGTGACAGTATCAGTACTTTGGTGCTCACACTTTTTGCAGGTTTGTAATATCTGTAAAGAAACAAACTGAATTTCTTTTGTTGAATCAAATAACAGTTTTTTAAAATAAAAATAAAAAACAACCTGCCATAAATCAGCTGATTGGTTTATATGTAATTGCGGTAATGAAACAAACTGACCTAAATTGTGGTCTTGAAAATCAAATTATATTGTTAGAATTAGTCTGTAGACTTCAAATTCTGTTTCATGCCATCTCAGATGTGCTTCAAGTGTATGACTGTGATTTTATATCATGATTATGTTGTGTTGAGTTGACACGCTAGCTCAGTGGTTAGCACTGTCGCCTCACAGCAAGAAGGTCACTAATTTTAGTCCCGGCTGGGTCAGTTGTCATTTCTGTGTGGAGTTTGCATGTTCTCCCTGTGTTGGTGTTTGCTTCCTCTGGGTGCTCCGGTTTTCCACACTGTTCAAGCACATGCGCTATAGGTGAATTGAATGAATTAAATTTGCTACAGTGTATGTGTGTGAACTTGAGAGTGTATGGGTGTTTCCCAGAACTGGGTGGCAGCTGGAAGGGCATGCGCTGTGTAAAACATATGCCGGAATAGTTGGCGGTTCATTCCGCTGTGGTGGCCCCTGATGAATAAGGGATTAAGCTGAAGGAAAATGTATGAATGAATGAATGAATGTTGTGTTGACACCAGTGAGGAATCAATGCATTTCACTACAAATGGTTCACATCTAAATGTAATGTCATTTTTGTTTCAAACAGGTAGACAGTAAAACACAGGTTTAAAAATGCCCAAGAAATCACAGCTTGATCATCGAAAAAGCAAGAACCTGAAGAGCAAACCAAAATCTAAAGACTCAGGAGAGATGAACACAGAGAAACTTATGAGACGAAACAGCAAAGAGGAATTTGATGTAAATTGTAAGTATTTGATGAACTATCAGTGACACAAAGAGCAAATGACAAACCCTTTATTTCCACGATCATAATCACCATTGTCTTTAGTTGTCTTCAGGCTGTGAAACAGATTGTCTGACCTGTGATGAACTACGTCTTGTTTTCTCTTCAGTTTCTCGTGATCCGGCTGATGAGTCTCGTTCTGGTCCACAGGAGAAGCTCCAGGATGAGGTGAGTTTCTTTCACACACAGTCAGACTCAAGAATGTGTTCAGTGCTGTGTTTCAGTGTTTGTGAATAAACATTTATTCTGTTTTAGAAAACATGATGTTAACCTCCACTATGTGACGGGGTTCAGTCTCCATCCTGGACAACACAGTGTTTACTGTTACACAAACTACTCAATGGCTGAACTACTGGATCTGCATTTGTGTTTCTGTATCATTCTCACACACACACACACATCAGTTCAGATCAAACGTTATAATTTTTCTTATGCACATATATAATCGACACGTTTTTCTCTTTCTACTGTACTTTATTTTAATGTTTTATAATTGTTTTTACATATTTTCCTAATAAACTTTAAATGAACTTTAAAATGGAAGCAGCCTATTGTGTTTGATTGAGTCCCATTTTAGATTTTTTTCTGAACATTAAGCACGAAAGTCCAAAAAACAAACAAAAAAGATAAAATAATAATCAAATTCTGTTCTTTGTAGGTTGTCAACACTTTAGTCCACTAGATGGCGCTGCAGTTTAACTTTTTGTGTATTTGAGCTGTGTTAGTATCACATGATGCACCCGTTCAAAAATTTCACAGATAATCTTTTTCAACAGATGCAAATCTTCCAGTTTTGCAAACAATACATAGTTGACCAATGGAAAATCGAAATCCATTAATGTTTTTGGCAATATAAGTGAGCTTTTTAAATAAGTGAATGAATGAATGAATGAAGTCTTTCACCGAAAATAAGAGCTCCATAAAAGTGTGAGTAAATGATAAGGACCATTTCATTTTTGGGTGAACTGTTCCTTTACGATGCTTGTGGCTCATTTATCACTTAGGATAAAAAATCACCTGCTACAAGAAATGCATTCATTATTTTTCGCTTAATTATTACTGTTTTCTAAAATTGTTACAGTACTTTATATCATTTTTATTGGCACTATTTTAATTCATTGATTCAGATGAGAAAACACATTAAAGATGCTATTATTAGCCTATTGACTTGATCATGACAGCACAACACCCTCAAATTTCAGCTTTGGGACTGATCTTGGTGAAAAAAGAAAGAAAAGAGAGGAGCTGTGACAGTAGAACAATTGAAATGCCAATTAAGGCCTGTTCTATTTTAATAATTGTGTTTTCCTATGAACATCTTTGGCCTTTATTCACAACTTAAAAGTCACCATTTCTGAATAATCTTCTGAATTCTCAACAGTTATCAGGCCCGTAGCCAGAGGGTTAGGAAGACCCCCCCCCCCCCCTTTCCCCACTTACTGACAAACATCCAGAATATGTCCCTACATGAGCTCATTTGTCCTATTTTGACTGCTCTGTCATCATAAACAGTGAAAATAACACTTTGAAAAGGCTTTAAGACCAAGTAGAATCCTGGTGTGACTTCAGTGAATCAGTTTTGGCAAATGCAAAAGATTATTTTTCAAGAGTCCAACATCCAGCTGTGCAAGAGAACATCTGACATAAGCAGAGTCATCTTTCGCTACTGTATTGTTTTTAAAAGGAGAAAACATTTGACAAGTAAATCTTGGACTTTATTCTTGAAAGAAAACATGATCAATAAAAAAAGTGTGAAGCACTTTTACAAAAGAGACTATAAATTATTATTATTATTATTATTATTCATTAATTTTTCAGCTTAGTCCCTTTATTAATCAGGGGTCGCAACAGCGGAATGAACCGCCAACCTATCCAGCACATGTTTTATGCAGCAAATGCCCTTCCACCTGCAACCCATCTTTGGGAAACATCCATACACACTCATTCACTAGGGTCAATTTTAGCTTACCCAATTCACCTGTATCACATGTTTGGACTGCAGGGGAAACTGGAGCACCTATAGGAAACCCACGCAAATGTGGGGAGAACATGCAAACTCCACACAGAAACGCCAACTGACCCAGCCGAGGCTCGAACCATCGACATTCTTGCAGTAAGGTGACAGCACTACCTACTGCGCCACCCATCTTTAAAAATGGAGATAAATTTGACCCCAATAATTACAGAGGGATTTGTGTGAACAGCAACCTGGGAAAGTTATTCTGTAGTTTAATAAATGTCCGACTACTGGACTTCATCACGACACATAATGTCTTAAGCAGAAGTCAAATTGGATTTTTACCAAAATACCGCACATCTGACCACATTTACACACTGCACTCGCTAATTGAAAAACACACTGTCCAAAATAAAGGTAAAATATATGCATGCTTCATTGACTTTAAAAAAGCTTTCGACTCAATTTGGCACCAAGGCTTACTTTATAAGCTGATTGAAAGTGGTATAGGAGGAAAAACATATGACCTTATTAAATCAATGTACACCGAAAGCGAATGTGGCATCAAAATTAGCACAAAAAGAACAAAATATCTTTCCCAGGAGCGTGGAGTGAGACAAGGCTGCTGCCTGAGCCCAACACTATTCAACATCTACATAAACGGGCTGGCGCTCAGTCTGGAGCGATCCACCGCTCCGGGTCTCGATCTCCACGACTCTCAGATCAAATGCCTGCTGTACGCAGACGACCTGCTGCTACTATCGCCAACCGAACAGGGCCTACAGCAGAACCTGCAGCTGCTGGACCAGTACTGCCAGACCTGGGCCCTGACCGTCAACCTAAACAAAACCAAAATCATCACCTTCCAAAAAAGAACCAGACCCCAGGGAACACAACACACATTCACACTAGGCACCAATCAGATAACACACACAACACAGTATAATTATTTAGGCCTGAACATCACCTCCACTGGAAACTTTAATCCTGCAGTGAATGAGCTGAGAGATAAAGCCCGCAGAGCCTTCTACGCCATCAAACGCCAATGCCCCATAGACATCCCTGTCCAGATCTGGCTGAAGATCCTAGAGTCCGTCATCGAGCCCATCGCCCTCTACGGCAGTGAGGTGTGGGGTCCACTGACAAACCCTAAACAAGATCTGGCCAAATGGGACAAACACCCGATAGAAACCCTGCACACAGAGCTGTGTAAGAACATCCTACACGTCCACCGGCACACAAAAATCAACGGATGCAGAGCAGAATTAGGAAATACCCTCTGATAATAAAGATACAGAAAAGAGCTGTCAAATTCTGGAAGCACTTCAAACTCAGCGACCCGGACTCATACCACTATAAAGCCCTGCAGGACAGAGAACTGAGCAGAAGAGCAGACCCACTCTCCCAGCTGGCCCAGAGCTTCAGGGTCTCTGAGACGTCTCCTGAGGAGCTGAACACACTCCTGCCACTGACTCAGATCACACACCAGATCGAGAACAGCTACACACACCACTGGGACACTCAAACACAACTGCAAAGCAAAATGCAGTGTTATCTGGCCCTGAAGAGACAATATACTCTGGCAGACTATCTTCACACAGTGACAGATAAAGGTCTGAGGAACACCCTGAGCAGATACAGACTCAGCGGACACCAGCTGGCTATAGAGACGGGCCGGCACAGACAAACATGGCTGCCGGTGGAGGAGCGGCTGTGCCCACACTGCCCTCAGCAGCCGATTGAAACAGAACTGCACTTCCTTCCTACCTGAAACTCACACACACACACACAAAAACTTTGAGTCCCTGCCGAACAATGAGAAACTGCCCATCCTACTGGGGGAGTGTGTGTGCTGCTGTGTGTTAGCAGCTCAGTTTGTGCACTCCTACCACTGTCTGAGGAACCCACAATGATCCGCTCCACTGTCTCCAACACACAACTGGAACTCTTTACTTGTGGACCTACTGTGGATATTATTGTCATCACTTTTATCCTGTTTCACAAATGACCATTAATCTATTTTTATTTTTATTAATCTTTTTAGTTTTACTGGTATATTGTTATTTTTATTAATCTATTTGTTTGTTTTTTTTTTTACAATTTTTTCTTTATTTCTATATTATATTTTATGTTCATATTTGTTTGCACTACTGCCCTTTTTGCACTGTCTTGTCTGTACGCAGCGACGCTGCACTGCTTTGGCAATACGAATGTCAATTATTTGTCATGCCAATAAAGCACCTAAAATGTGGAAATGTGTGTGTGTGTGTGTGTGTGTGTGTGTGAGAGAGAGAGAGAGAGAGAGAGAGAGAGAGAGAGAGAGAGAGAGAGAGAGAGAGAGAGAGAGAGAGAGAGAGAGAGCGCGCAAACCAGAGTACTGGCATGAAACTTAACAGGTATTAAAGTCGTGCAATTTACAAAAATGACTAATAAAAGTCTGTTATTGATACTCTGCTGGCTGATTTGCTGTTCATTCTAATCGCGACAGGGGCGCCCCCAAGGGGTGGCCATTGTCATTGTCGTTCCCCCTTAGTGCTGGTTCAATGCTAAATGCTGGTGAAAGCAAACTGACGCATGCGCGCAGAAAACCATTCCCGCGCGCCTCGCGCACTCCTGTGTGAATCCCGGTTGGTTGTTTGCATGCACGCCGACAAAATACGCGCCGCTCATGCGCCGTGAAGGCTGATTTATACTTCTGCGTCAAACACCGGCGTAGGCTACGGCGCTGACGCATAGCCCTTCGCCGTGGCCGTCGTCGTCACTGACGTGCACCTCTAAAAAATTGTAACTACACGTCACAACAACGCGTAGCGCAAGCTCTGTGATTGGTCGGCTTGCTAGCGCTGACGAGTCTGGGCGGAACCGAGAGCCGCGCGAATGGCGCGAGCGATTGTTTACAAGTGTGGAGTCCCGTGTAGGAGCTCCGGATGGAAAGTTTTGTTTTGTGTTTACCTCATAGTTAAAGTTGTTGCACGTCCGCCGGTTCCTGAGCGAGTTTGAGTCACTTGTACATCCAGGAAGTGTTCAGAATAGCAAAACAGAAGCGAAGAAACTCGACACAGAGGAACATTTACACCTCACTGCCAACTAGCGTTTTGGAAGTGTTAATGCAGACCAACAGAGACAGCGCGCAAAAGTATAAATGCACAGCCACACGCGTTGCCTGCGCCGTGAGTTGCGCCGGTCACTTGACGCAGAAGTATAAACCAGGCTCAAACGGAGTAATAGCCTATTGTGCAGAGGTGAAAGTCGACTAAAGTTTATATAATAATATGATGATGATGATGATGTTACTTTCACTAAGCATGCCTTTAAAGCAGAAAGGAGGGATAATGAGTCAGGGAGGTAAGACTTCATAACATGAGTTCGCCCAGGGTGTCATTTAAACTAGAACCGCCACTACCCTTCCCGATCGTTGTTGACAGCACGCACACACCTTCAATAGACGGCAATGGCAATTTAATATTTACCTTAAGATACAGTATATGAATAGAAGAAGCTGCATTAATAAAATGGCTCAAAAAGCAATATGGATAAATGATATTATTAGGTATAGTGAGTGTGTATAGTAATGCCTTTTGTTCAGTTTGTTCATTTGTTTGGGTTATTAATAAACTCATTATTCTTTCATTCATTTTCTTTTTGGCTTAGTCCCTTTATTAATCCAGGGTCACCACAGCAGAATGAACTGCCAACTTATCCAGCACATTTTTACACAGCGGATGCCCTTCCAGCTGCAACCCATCACTGGGAATAATAAACTCATTAATCTTCATTAATTTTAGACATGGCATATACCGTATGATGTACAATAAAAGCACGTAAAAAGTTATTTATACAGTATATATATGAAAAGTGTTTTTAAACTAAACATAGATTTTTATTTGGTTTGCACATGTACTTCCTGAATTACTTCAAGGAATAAATAGCAATATTTCAAGAAGAATTAATTAAATGAATAAAAACTACATTATTACATTTACCAAAAACACAAATATAACATTAAACTGAATTCAGATTTTTTTGCGACCCCAAGATTTGGTGCGGCCTCTTCTGGCCACCCCTAAGAAAATTTTCTGGGGGCGCCACTGAATCGCGAGCCGTTTGTGTTTTATTTCGTGTGTTGTATTTACCACGGTTTGTGTTTTTCTGTCATTTCAAAATGACACTAGCCTATATTTTCACTTTGTCACAGCTATTAAATCAGTGGATCAGTGGACAGTACAGGCTACGTGTGTCACATTTTGGTGAACTACATTTGTTTGGGCTGGTTATATTTGAAATAAAGAGAAAATGTTGACTTTAGCGATGGCTTCATTTAAACAGCAGAAGATGCCGTCTGACAACGAGGGGAAAACTCTGTGACTGTTAACACGCATCAGCTGCCGACAGGAAGTTCTTCGCATTTTCCTTGTGCATACACGAATAGCATGGGTAATTTGTGTGTCAAGAAAAAGTTCTATACGCATCAGCTTTCGACAGCAAGTTCTTCGCATACACGCAAAGCATAATGGGTAATTGGTTCCAAGAAAAAGGTCTATAAAAAGCGGCAGTTTTGCACGCACGTTTTTTTTTCCTCAAAATGTCACATTTGCTGCGTCCCAATCCGCGCATACCATGCATCCTAAATAGTTTTTTTGAAAATAGAATTAGTATTTCCTAAACCATAGTATGTTGAAAAGATTTGTTAAGTGTAGAAGCGTCCATACTCTTACCGGGCGTAAATGCGATTAGAAACTACAAACGCGTGATAAGTGTAAATAAACTACAAACATATGAACGCGCGAGACCAACTTTCCTGTACAGAGGCTTCGGTAAAGATGTTTGAATGACTGTTAGTCAATATCTAGCCACTGGAAAATATTTAAATCGCATTATCTGTGTTATATTTCATCTGCAACAACAATACTGAAGACACGTTTGGACGTCAAAATTATCCAAAGACCTGAGGAGATTTCTCTGCATGAAAGACTCATGAATGAGATTAACCTGCTGCTGTTTCTCCAAAAAAGGTAGGACAATAAATACGACAGAAATGTTAATGATGTGTGGTTGACTGACAGGGGGAATGACTGCAACACAATGATCTGTTAAAGAGGAAGCAGTCTTAAAGCTTGCATACTCTTCTGTTGCACACTCAAGTAGGCTATAAACTTTTCCTTCACAAAAACAGTACAGCAGCAGTACAGCAGCCCCTTTTTGCGCGCACAGGAAAGGGCGTGGCTTTCTGTTTTCTGTGAACCAACCAACACATGACTTTGAGCGACTTTGTCAAGAATTAGAATATACAATAAGTCCGAGACTATTTTATACAGTGATTGATTAGTCCGAGACAGTTTCTCCCGGAGAAATGCTCTGAAATGCCAATCTTTTATGCGCACGCCCACAGGACAGGTCTCTCGCCAAGATCGACGCTGCTTAACCGTCCTGAACTGTGTGAACATATTGATATTGACGCACGGTGAGTAACTTAGCTGTGTTTTTTCATATTTTCACATACACACGTGTGTGTGTGTGTGTGTGTGTGTGTGTGTGTGTGTGTGTGTGTGTGTGTATACCCAATACAGCATATATATATATATATATATATATATATATATATATATATATATATATATATATATATATATGAACGTTTAGTTGAAGTTGCAAGTAGTCTCCGGATAATTCACTGTACTTTACAGTTTATTTGATAGATGATAAAACAGACAAACATTGATTTTTGTTACTTTATCCATTAATAAATATACTTTTTTAATTGTTGATGTAACTTGCAATAATAATAATCAACACGTTAAAGATTTATCAATATCATTTCTTTAACTTAATTTAAATTGGAATTTTATTTTACAGAAAATATCTTGGGGTGGCTGGGGTCTTTGTGTTTGTAATTCATGCTTTATTCTGACTAAGAAGAAGCCATTTGATTGCTGTTTACATCTGGTATTTTTGTCATTGTAATCACAAACACAACAACCCTAGTGGTGGCTAGGGTATGTCTGATGCCCCAATCCAGTTGTTACAGTTTACATTTCTAATATTTACAAATATGTTATTTTATTAATGTGTAAAAACAATAATTGCAGCCACTCAGTATAATTTAAGATTTTAAATATTGACTAAACTTGACATTTAGAGAAAGGTATTGTAGTACTAACTCAATAGCCATTTTATATATATATATATATTAGACATCGTTTTATGGCTGGAATGATAAATAATTGCTGAAAATGTTTCAATGCAGAGTGTGACCGTATCAGTACTTTTGGTGCTCACACTTTTTGCAGGTTTGTAATATCTGTAAAGAAACAAACTGAATTTCTTCTGTTGCATCAAATAACAGTTTTTTTTTTAAATAAAAATAAACAACCTGCCATAAATCAGCTGATTGGTTTATATGTAATTGCGGTAATGAATCAAACTGACCTAAATTGTAGTCTTGAAAATCTAATTATATTCTTAGAATTAGTCTTTAGACTTTACATTCTGTTTCATGCCATCTCAGATGTGCTTCAAAAGTCTGACTGTCAATTAAACCAAATTTATATCATGATTATGTTGTGTTGAGTTGACACGCTAGCTCAGTTGTCATTTCTGTGTGGAGTTTGCATGTTCTTCCTGTGTTGGTGTGGGTTTCCTCTGGTTGCTCCGGTTTCCCCCACAGTCCAAACACGTGCGCTATAGGTGAATTGAATGAACTAAATTGGCCGTAGTGTATGTGTGTGAATGAGAGTGTGTGGGTGTTTCTCAGTACTTGGTTACAGATGGAAGGGCATCCGCTGTGTAAAACATATGCCGGAATAGTTGGCGGTTCATTCCGCTGTGGCGGCCCCTGATGAATAAGGGACTAAGCTGAAGTAAAATGTATGAATGAATGAATGTTGTGTCGACACCAGTGAGGAATCAATGCATTTCACTACAGATGGTTCACAACTAAATATAATTTCATTTTTTGTTTTAAACAGGTAGACAGTAAAACACAGGTTTAAAAATGCCCAAGAAATCACAGCTTGATCATCGAAAAAGCAAGAACCTGAAGAGCAAACCAAAATCTAACGACTCAGGAGAGATGAACACAGAGAAACTAATGAGACGACACAGCAAAAAGGAATCGTATGATTGTAAGTATTAGATCAGTGATTCTCAAACTTTTTTGATCAAGTACCACCTCAGAAAAAAATTGTCTCTCCAAGTGCCACCAAAATGAGCAGTATTGAAATACAGTAGCATAGTAGGCCCAGTAAAGCAGGTACAACTCTGCAAAGTAAAAAAAAATGTGGCAGATTACCTCAGAAATATAGGCTATATGTCATATATGGCATATTATAAACATCTATTTTGATAAATTTTGAAATGTGTGTAGCATGTACATGACATATTTCATTCCTCTGCGTACCACTAGAAGGAAGCCCGCGTACCACTAGTGGTACACGTACCACAGTTTGAGAACCACTGTATTAGATGAACTATCAGTGACACAAAGAGCAAATGACACCTTTATTTCCATGATCATAATCACCATTGTCTTCAGTTGTCTTCAGGCTGTAAAACAGATTGTCTGACCTGTGATGAACTATGTCTTGTTTTCTCTTTAGTTTCTCGTGATCCGGCTGATGAGTCTCGTTCTGGTCCACAGGAGAAGCTCCAGGATGAGGTGAGTTTCTTTCACACACAGTCAGACTCAAGAATGTGTTCAGTGCTGTGTTTTAGTGTTTGTGAATAAACATTTATTCTGTTTTAGAAAACATGACGTTAACCTCCACTATGTGACGGGGTTCAGTCTCCATCCTGGACAACACAGTGTTTACTGTTACACAAACTACTAAGTGGCTCAACTACTGGATCTGCATTTGTGTTTCTGTGTCATTCTCACACACACACATCAGTTCAGATCAAACGTTATAATTTTTCTTATGCACATATATAATCGACTCGTTTTTCTCTTTCTACTGTACTTTATTTTAATGTTTTATAATTGTTTTTACATATTTTCCTAATAAACTTTAAAATGGAAGCAGCCTATTGTGTTTGATTGAGTCCCATTTTAGATTTTCTTCTGAACATTAAGCACAGAAGTCCAAAAAACAAACAAAAAAGATAAAATAATGATCAAAATCTGTTCTTTGTAGGTTGTCAACACTTTAGTCCACTAGATGGCGCTGCAGTTTAACTTTTTGTGTATTTGAGCTGTGTTAGTATCTGTTGTAAATGAGGGCGATGCCGATGCTACCTGGCACTGATTGCGGTCCAGGTACAGCTCATCAACTCCCGTGTATATATACCGCACTCACGCTCTGGTTCATTGCGAAGTCTTGATTTGCCTGGCTGTCATTTCTGAGCGTTCCATACTCCCTGCTTCGGACTGATCTGTGTTCTGACCTTGTGCTTGTTCTACGACTACGAAAGACATCTGCCTGCCCCTGATCTCCAGCCTGTTATTCTGACCAGTAAGATATCTGCCTGCCTTTGATCTTTTGCCTGTCCCATGTTCTGTCTCCTGGATTGCCCCTTTGTGTTTGTATGTATGTGTGCTTTTAATAAAGCTTGCAAATGGATTCAATGCCTTCTGACTCATCACAACAGTATCATATGATACACCCGTTTAAAAATTTCACAGATAATCTTTTTCAACAGGTGCAAATCTTCCAGTTTTGCAAACAATACATAGTTGACCAATGGAAAATCGACACCCATTAATGTTTTTGGCAATATAAGTGAGCTTTGTAAATAAGTGAATGAATGAATGAATGAAGTCTTTCACCGAAAATAAGAGCTCCATAAAAGTGTGAGTAAATGATACCACCATTTCATTTTTGGGTGAACTGTTCCTTTACAATGCTTGTGGCTCATTTGTCACTTAGGATAAAAAAGCACCTGCTACAAGAAATGGATTCATTATTTTTCGCTTAATTATTACTGTTTTCTAAAATTATTACAGTACTTTATATAATTTTTATTGGCACTATTTTAATTCATTGATTCGGATGAGAAAACACTTTAAACATGCTATTATTAGCCTATTGACTTGATCATGACAGCACAACACCCTCAAATTTCAGGTTTGGTATTGTTATTGGTGAAAAAAGAAAGAAAAGAGAGGAGCTGTGACAGTAGAACAATTGAAATGCCAATTAAGGCCTGTTCTATTTTAATAATTGTGTTTTCCTATGAACATCTTTGGCCTTTATTTACAACTTAAAAGTCACCATTTCTGAATAATCTTCTGAATTCTCAACAGTTATCAGGCCCGTAGCCAGAGGGTTAGGAAGACCCCCCCCTTTCCCCACTTACTGACAAACATCCAGAATATGTCCCTACATGAGCTCATATTTTTTCAATTTTGACTGCTCAGTGCTCTGCCATCACAAACAGTGAAAATAACACTTTGAAAAGGCTTTAAGACCAAGTAGAATCCTGGTGTGACTTCAGTGAATCAGTTTTGGCCAATGCAAAAGATTATTTTTCAAGAGTCCAACATCCAGCTGTGCAAGAGAACATCTGACATAAGCAGAGTCATCTTTCGCTACTGTATTGTTTTTAAAAGGATAAAACATTTGACAAGTAAATCTTGGACCTTATTCTTGAAAGAAAACATGATCAATAAAAAAATTGTGAAGCACTTTTACAAGAGAGACTCTAAATTATTATTATTATTATTATTATTATTATTCATTAATTTTCTTTTCGGCTTAGTCCCTTTATTAATCAGGGGTCGCAACAGCGGAATAAACCACCAACCTATCCAGCACATGTTTTATGCAGCAAATGCCCTTCCACCTGCAACCCATCTTTGGGAAACATCCATACACACTCATTCACTAGGGTCAATTTTAGATTACCCAATTCACCTGTATCACATGTTTGGACTGCAGGGGAAACTGGAGCACCTATAGGAAACCCACGCAAATGTGGGGAGAACATGCAAACTCCACACAGAAACGCCAACTGACCCAGCCGAGGCTCGAACCATCGACATTCTTGCAGTAAGGTGACAGCACTACCTACTGCGCCACTGCATCGCCCCATTATTATTATTATTATTATTATTATTATTATTATTATTAATATTCATGTTATTATTATTATTATTCATGTTATAACAATAATAATAATAATAATAATAATAATAATAATAATTATTATTATTATCATGTTTATGTAAATATTGTTATCATTATTATTATTTTATTATTTATGTTATTATTATTATTATTTATGTTATAATAATAATAATAATAATTATTATTATTATTATTGTTATTATTATTATTATTATCATGTTATTATAATTATTTTTATAATTATTATTATTTTATTATTCATGTTATTATTATTATTAATAATATTATTCATGTTATTATTATTATTATTATTATTATTATTATTATTATTATTATTGTTGATGTTATTCAGTTTTTATTATTTAACTGGCCAGATTCTGAGTGAGGACAGTTAAATGTGCTGGCCAGTTTGTTAATTGCTTAATAAATGACATAAGGCTACAGTTTTTAAACCTTTTTTTGCAATGATGTAATACATTTCCATTTTAAAAACAAATATTAGTCATATTTCTTTGTTCTAAATAGTTAGGAAATATTTTGGTATCTAAAAGTGTGGTTATGATGACCGTCCAACAAGCTAATTCAGCTAAAAATACATGTCACTAATAAATTATTTTAATCTCATAATTAAATAGAAAATGAGGCGAAAAACTGCAAGAAGGTCCACTTTTTGAGAAAATAATACCAACCCTTTTACCAGGCTGGCTACTGAACACAATGTTCCCCAATTTCTGTAGAAAAACACTGGCGGATGGTGTCCTCTAGATGGCGCTGTAAGCTTTTATTCTGTAATCTAAGCTTTGCTGCTGCTGTCAGATGTGCATTTCAATATAGTTTATGACGGTGCAATGCAGAGCAGATCTGTAATATATTTAATACAGTACATATAGGCTAAATATGACAAACAAACACAGATTCTGCCATTATGAAGAGAGATGATCACTTAAGTAACATGACAATCTAAAATGCATTTACTCAACATTAATTATATTTAATTACCTGCTTTATGTGCTAATGTGATTGTTTTTAAATTATGGTGAAACATTAGGACATTTGTTAAACAAATATTTAAGGCTAACAAATGTCACACAATCGTAAATATTTATGAACTATTCATGCAACACTTGTCAGCACACAAAACGGAAACAAGGGACATCACAGGAAATAAAAGACCTTGTTAAATAACACAATAAAATAGCAGCTCTTTTTGTTATGAACATGCTCGCCATCTGTCCAGCGATTGAATGATCGTCACTTATATTGATTTTTTCCTCACCAATCTTTTCCCGTTATACAGCGTGCGCGCTCCCGCCAGTGCAGCTGTCACCGGGGGCGCGTGGCCGAGCTCTGCGTCTGAGAGCGCGCGCAAATGAACGAGCGTGCATTTGAACATCATCCGTGACATTTTGAGGAAACGTGCGTGCAAAACCGCCGCTTTTTAGGCGCCTTTCTCATATCAGGAAGAAGTGAGAGAGATACACATTACGCTAAACCCCGGGAGACACACACACAACACACCCCCCACGCAAACACACACACATAACACGCGCACGCACACACGCGCGGACCCGAGGAGCGACAGACACGGGCTCTGTTCCGCCGCTGAGGTTTGGACTACAAACATTCATCAGAAACGCACGAATCGTGGATTTTTACGTGAAGACCGAGAAACCATGAGCTGGGGAACCGAGCTATGGGTGAGTTTCATACCGCTGTCGATTAACGGTTTAACGTCTGTAAAGCAAACGGCGTTGGGAACGTCAATGCAAATGTACAGCCACTGGATCTTACAGCACATCTTATACTGACAGGGTTTACATGAGTGTATATTAGAGAATCTGTCTGTGTTTATTGGCTATATTGCAAATATGATGCCCAGCAACAGCATATCTGCATCTCAAAATATTTTATGCTTTATATTTATGTTTAAATAGGTATATTAGTATGGATTGTGTATCTATAAATATTCAACGTGTTTAGAAAATTAGTTTTATGGTGGGAATAATTAAATAAAACGATATAGAATTGAAATACACTCTATTTTGCTGTACTTTATCGAAATAAACGCTGTTTTATTATAAAAATAAATGATAAATTTACTATCTATCTATCTATCTATCTATCTATCTATCTATCTATCTATCTATCTATCTATCTATCTATCTATCTATCTATCTATCTATCTATCTATATGTTCATTGACAGCCCAAATGTGTTTAATTTTAGTACATTTCTGTCATTTTTACACATATATTGAGAATATAAATAAAAACATAGTGTTTATATACACAGTAAAAAATGCTGGGTTCACAAATAAATTAAGTTAACTTAATCGTTTTTACAAATTTGAGTGGATTGAACATAATACAATTAAGTTGTCCCCCCTAAAAAAAAACTAAAGAATTGTGTTGATTCAACTTGTATTAAATAAGTAAATAAGCAACAAAATGTTTATTGTATGCATAATGAGTGCATATTAACTGCATTGTAAAACATGGACAATTAGTCATGACAGTAGGGTTGTCGTGATGCCATCAATTAATCTTACGATACTATACCAGCTGAAGTATCACAATACCAAGTAGTATTGTGATACTGTAATTCATAACTCAAATTATAAAGAACATTGTCTGAAATACTATATTTTATGTTGTAACAGGCCCACTCGAATGTAATTCATAATTCCCCTGAGGCCAAAAAGAATTATTTGCACCCCACTTCATCTAATTCATTAACTCTTTTTGATTATTTTGTAGATAACTGACCAACAAAAATACATTAAATAAAAGATACAAATTATACTGGGTGAAATTCATTACAAAAGTGCATTTTTCCAACAAAATGAGACCATGTGAAGTGGTTAAAAATCGTTTCAATGTTTCCTGTTGCCATATTAGGTTTCTCCTTTATTAATTTTTTTCAGTCTTATCAGGTAACAATCCAAGGTAATTTTAAAATTTTCACTTTGTGAGTTGTTCTTTTAAAGAGATTGTTGAAGGTGCTAATAAATCATATAGCAGGAACAGAAATGAACCGATTCAGATGTGCTCTCGAACTAAAACGTTAGAAAACGTGCAATAGGCTACCATAAAGGGCGCAAATTCAACACGGTTTTGCAACCTTAAAGTGCTCCACAGACTATTCAATAAAATGATTTATTATTGCACAAACGTATAAGCATTTTAGTGACTTTTCCACATGCAACATTACCTATTGTAGATAAACCATTAATGACGATACCACAGTTCACAAGCTACAGTGGCACTGTCAGTACTTTGGAGCCATACTATCGCGATATTACCATAGAACCGGTAAACAGTACAACCCTACATGACAGCATGTTTTTAGTTTATTGTAACTTATTAAACTAAGTTAATCATGTTTTAA